TTTTTTTTTTTTGGTAAGAAAAAATGCCAAAAAGATAGATGAACAAGTAAAACAGCTTGCCTTAGTCAAAGTTGCATATATTGCTCATAGGTACATAAATATGTAATGTCAACAACAGTATAGCATATATACTGCCATCTTTTTTCCCATTCTTTTGCACTCAGGAAGAAAAATCAATCAAGTGCACTGAAAGATTCACTGGAACAACTGGGAGAAATCAAGAATCCAAAGAGAGAAGCCAACAAAGTCTGCTTGGGCATATAATTTATACAAGGAAAGCCATAATTAGAAAAAGAATCATCACAGGCAACCTCCGAAAAAAAGAAAAAGAAAATTACGATCCGGCCCGGTCAGAACAAGAATTCATCAACCAGTTCATCTACGAGACAAGTCAGTATCCTTTCCTCTATCTCGATGCTTTCCTCAAAACCCTCAGATTCAAAGTCAACCCACTTCCCTTCTTTAGAGCTCATATCCCTGTCCACGAGCTCGTCCACCATCATCTCCTCATCATTCGCCAGGCTCGATATTTCTCTATAAAAACCATCAGCCAAAAATTGTCGTTTTTGCAAGAGTGTCGTCTGCTTAACCCATAACTTGTGGCTTCCAGCAAGAAGCCCGCTGTAACTGGTCTGGAAGCATTCACAGACATAGTCAAATAACACCTTTCGCTCGAGCATGTCTTTTTCCGTATCCTTGTAAAAATATCTGTTTTTATTTTCCAGCTGGTTAAAGAGTTCGGGAGCTATTATCCTGTGAGCCCGACCGAGCGCAAACTCTTCAAGCAACAGTTCTGCACTGTTTAGTACGTCCCTGATGTATTGTAGTTCCCAGTGGGAGCAATCTTCTGATTCTATGGTTCCACATAATGTGGGGTCCGCAGTTTGATGTAAAAAGCTAACTGAAAGTGAGGAGGCCGTATCGGATATCATACCTTCATAACACCCCAGAAGATAAACATGGCAATGCGTGCCTGTTAGCTAGTTTATTGCATTTGCCGGCAATTTGAATATAATAATTCATAGAAAAATAACATCTACAGGATATCCAGGGAAAACTTGTGTAAATATATTAGATTTTCAATTTACAAGTTTTTATGTCTTTGCTTCTTTTAGTTCTGACAGAAGAAAACTCTTACCTTCGTTACTTGAGCTTCTGTCGACATCAGATGAGTCAGAAGTAGCAGCAGACAGTGAGGGCCTTGAAAATGAAACAGGACCTTGAGAATCAATGTTACTGTTATTATCACCAACCATATCAACGAACGACAGCAGTCCCTGGAGATCGAGTGAAGTTAGCAACCTATTAATGTGAATTTTCTATTTGTATGAAGTTAACACTGAATTTATGCTTCAAGATTCAATTTGAGGCCAGTATTTAGGTTATTGACCCCGTGCCTTAGGCTTCTAATGATATTTCAAAAGGAAGAAATTGAACTAAACTTTCACTACTTGATACAAATAGGAGCACAGATAAGTGATAACCACACAGATATCGTATTTGTTTGTGTTTTTGCTCTCGACAAAATTATCTGTCTCAATTCATGTTCCTAAAACATTTTCCTGATACATTGATTTTCAGTTCATGTTCCACATATAACACAAGCCGCATCAAAACAAAATTGGATATTTAAAGTTCGTGTTCAAAACAAACCCTTCTTACATGAAATTGATTCTCAGTTTATGTTTCTGAGTAAATGCATCTGAGCAGGTCCAACAAACTGAAAATCGAATAATTAATCCAAAATATATTATTTATTTTGAGAAAGACAAATTGTCACCAGTGACTGGACCATGCTCAATTATTACTAGAATTAAACCTCACACACACTCATGAAATAATACAGCCGCAAATGAGGTTTTCTTCTCTTCCATGACATAGTAATGAGCATGAAACTATTAAAAATGGTTAGCTACTGGGGAAAATGATGAATTATTAAAATACTTAAGATCCAAAGGTTAGCTATTGAATAAAATCAGGAAGCACACAGACATTGCAATCATGACAAGCCAAAGCAAATTGTTCGGAGACAATACACTTGGTTATAATCAGGTCTTCCTAACCCCAACTAAAGAGTATAACAGAAGAAAGATCATGTTCCTTCAAAACTAGAACATTGTCTAGACCAAATATTTAATAAAAGGCTTCTTTAGGCCAAATTTTGAAATAAAAAAATAAACTTCTTCACATTCCTCCTTCAAAAGCTATGTGTTAGCAGTTCTAATCGTTACTGCTCCCAGCTAAAATGAATTAAATGGTAATTACAAAGACATGGATGCCCAAAAATAGATCACCAATAGAAAGTAGTACAGACAGTAAAGTACCTTCTTGTCCTTTTTGACTTCGGAATGCTGATCAACAGACGAGCAATCAGAGTGAAACTGGATTTCACATTTACTTTTGCACGTATCAATATCCAAGGGCAGGGGCTTTAACAAGCTTAGGGTACTTGTGTTACCACAGCTGTTGACAGAATTAGAACCCACTTCTGACAGGTCCTGGGACATTTCAACCCTAGAAGCCAACTCTTTCAGTTTTTGCTCCAAAAGCACGCTCAAAGCATCCCCTCCTACATTAAAACCCAATGGCATCTCTGTAGAACTTCTGAAGTCAGATTTATGTGCATATGTATTGCACTCGGGAGAATACGAGCTACTTGCTTCCAAGACCGTGCTGCATAAATTTGATCCACCACTAGACTTTTTTATAGGAGACGTAAATGTGAATGACACAACATCAGAGCTATTATCTTTCCTCTCAAGTTCGTCCCACTTAGAATCACCTTTAAATTCAACATTAGCTTCACTAGGCTTTTCAACTTGAATTTGCTCCATATTCCTATTGGCTGTCATTTTTCTCTTTGATGAATTTATCTTTGCTCTCGATGACAAAATCTCTTTTCCAGGATCAGCCACCACAAAATTTGTCTTCCTGGATGCCACCACATTACTGACGACAATCTTGTTCACAGTCCTTTTTGCTCGATCGTTTACGTAACTATTGGCTGACAAACTCGATTCCTTTCCTTCCTTGGAGGACCCTAAGGTCTCATCCTCTACAGAGAACGCACGATTCTGCTTCTGATTATTCTGCCTGAGCACTTCTTGATTCCTTCTCGATGAAGAAGTTTTCATCTCCGATTTCTTTTGCATATTTGGAGGATCTTTTGGCTTTTCAGAGCTTCTGTTGTTAGCCAGGGAACTCGACCCATCTCTTTTCTTGATGTTGGCCTTTGCCTGAACAGCAAGGGACCCTTGCTTTTCCTTGCTCTTCGACCTTTGAGAGAGAATGGACCTTTTCGACTCCTCAGATGAACCTCTGGGCACACAGCTGTCCTGGGACCGGCTTTTGCCTCTAGTATCAACTGGCTTCTTCGGATTTGTAAAATTTTGATCTTTACCCTTCTCAACCAGTCGAGATGGCCTCCGGGAAGCAGCCTCCACCTTCTCCTTCATGCCCTGAACTCCAAAAGGAACAGAAGAAGAACCAAGTGACGGAAAACGAGCTTTGGAAGCTGACCGTGGGCTCTGCTCGATTATCTTGGCAGCTGCCTCAATTATGTAAGCTGCATTTCTAGGAGGGATGAACCCAGGGCTCTTTATGGGGGACAGAAGCCGATTGTGAGAAACAGAAATGGGCTTTGCAAATTTGGGAGGCAAAATCTCCGTCTGAAATCTCTCCAGCTGGCGGCCCCGCGTCTCGTGGGCCCTCATGTCCAGAGGGTTCCTACAAAATCCATCCAATTTATTCCGCATGCTCTCAAAGATCACGATGTCGTGTTGTTCGCCTTGGAATGCAGCAGCAGAATCTCTAAAGGAGTGGGATTCAGTGAATGAAGGGGTAAAACAGGGCTCATTGATCTTTGAAGAGGGCAAAGAGTCAAGGCCCATGAGTCGGGCCACGACCCCGGGTGGTTTTGTCCGGTATTCAGAATCACTATTGGGCGAGGAAGCATAATGGTAGCCTTTTTGACTTCTGGGATCTGTAGGAAAACCTTGCTCAAGCCCCTTCATAAAAGTATGCAGAAAATAGCCCAAGAGTCAGTAAATATGGTCTAACAAATTTTAGAATCAAATATCAGAGGTGGTGACAACTCCAAAAAAAAAAAAACAAAAAAAGTACCTGCTGATGTCGTGCAATGAATGAATCATGGTAATTTTCTATCCCTTGGTTTGAACTTTCTGCATCACATTATACCGGACTTCAACAACAAAATATTGTACAAACAAGAGGACTGATCTAGAAACAGAAGAACAACGTACAGGAGGGAAAATTTACCTGAGAATTCGGCTTTGCCCGAGAACAGCCTTTTCCGGGATTTACCATTCCAATCAAACAACTGGAAAAAGCCTCCCTTAACCCCTCGTTTTTCGACCTCCATAGTTAATTTATGACCAGAACCATGTGGAACAGGCAAAAAGATTACAAAAGATACTAATCCAAGAAAATGGGTTTTTACTGCACGTTCATGTCAGCGTCAGGTCCTTTAGGTGTTATCCATCTGCAGAAAAATGCAGCAAAATGCTTCCAAGGTTTTAAAACTTGGAACTTCAGCAGCTCACAACTAACGGAAAAAAGGAAAAAAAAATAAGCAATCAATTAGCAACACAACACCTTTACAGCTGAAAAGTTTGACCAACAATCAAGATCAACAAAACCCTAGAAATTCAGTCCGCAAAAGAAATGCATTACCGATCTAAAATTATCTTCAAAATACATTAGTTCATTACTGTAACAAACGGATACCCTATTTACTTTAAATCCATAATTCCAAGAAAATTAGCGCACAAGCCGACATTTTTATGCCGGAGATTACGAAAAACCTATTATGGAAACAAAATAATCACGAAAACCCAAATGGGCCAACCCACTGGTAACAATCACTCAACTCGCACTATGAACCGCATTCTTAAAGGTGTTTTCTTTTAACGGCCACATATAATGGAGATTCTCGGAAAATGGGTAATCCTCAAATTAGCGTTCGAAAGAAGAAGAGAGTTGCGAAAACACACCTGCAATGTCATGCTCACAGTCGAAAGCTGTACAGATCAAGAGACCGCTTAGTGTTTTCTGCCAGAAACAGCAACTGTAGCAAAGAAGTAAAGAATGTGGGCTGAGCTCAGGTAAGATCTGTTGTGCTCACCAAGAAGCGGAGATGGGATTTTGAACTAGATCCAAGAGAGAGAGAGAGAGAGAGATTTGAATAGAGAATAGTTGACAGTATGGTTCGTGAGTGGCAGGTGCTTGCTTACCACAGTTGTGTAATGTGTTGAGTATCGAATATTGAAATAAAACAAATATAGGGATGTAACTGTAAGGTATGGCCCAAAGGGTACATTCAATTTCAATTGCATTTTTTAGACCTTTATTACTAAAAGAGAAGAATAAAATTGGAAATGAGTAGGTTACTTGTGTGTGTACAATTAATGTATTTCCATGCTTTTATTTTTAAACTAATATATGCACAAATATAATTATAAATGAACGGCCCGTGCGATGCACGGGAAAAAAATGATTGTGTTATAAATTAAATATACAAATAAATTAATCAAGATTTACACATCGTTTTAAACTAAATCGTGTTTGACACAGTCTGATCGGATGGACCGAGAATGGGATTATAATCAGTCTAGTTCGCTTGAATCCGTCAACACCAGTCGGTTGAACTGGTAGGATCGATACGATTTTCTAGATAAATTTGGCTACATTTAAAATTATTTTAAATAAAATTACATATTTAAATAAAATAGAGATTTATAAATTGTTTATCAATTAGTTTAAATATTTGAATTTTTAAATTGTTTAGATACTTAAGTAATACATTTTATTTGAATTTACTACAAAAAGTACTATATATATATATATATATATTTATATATATATATTAAAGCATATTTTTCAAAGAAAAAAATAATTGTATGATTTTTAAAAAATTAAAATGTATTATTAAATTGTATTTGTATGATATCATTACTACTAATACACACTCATAATTTCTCTCTCAATTCTTTTCTTTTGGAAATTGATTTTAGTTATTTATAGCTTTATTATATTTCATTCAGCTTAATATATACTAATTATGCTTATATATATTAGCAGGATTAATAAATTTGAAAAATAATAGTATAATCTAAAAGATCTTTTTCTTTTTCTTTTTTTTTTTTCTTTTTTGGCATTAATTATGAAAAATATACTTGATCCATAATGGTTGCATGTGAGGAATCTTTACTCGTTGGACGTATTATACATGCAATTAATTATTTTTTACTTTTAATACATACTACCTCCTATTTTAAATAGATGTCGTTTTGGGATGTTGCACATTTATTAAGAATATTTTTTGTCAATAATAACCTTATTTAATGAAGATAGAGATGAATGTTTTGAGAAAAAGATGTGATTATGAAAAGACGTGATGTATTTATTAGCTAAATGAGAGTAATAATGGAAAAATATGTACAAAAGATCCAAAACGACATTTATTTAGCAAATAGTTGATAAAGCTAGAATGACATTTAAAAAAAATAGGAGGGAGTAAAGATAAATTTAAAATGTATTAATTACCTTTGACTTTTCTTCATATTAATTCTAGTAAATGGGATGCTTTTTATATAAGTATAGATATTATAAGTCATAGATAATATATTTATAATTACAACTTTTGCATAATAAACACGAACAATATATTTATAAATTACTTATTTATGAATCTATATAAAATGAACTCCCCATAATTCATAGAGCGTAATAGATCCCCTTTCTTTCCCCAAAAAAACCCTCGCCGATCGTCTTCCTCAAATTGCTCCTGTAATATCTCCCTTGCCGGTCGTCTGAGTCAGTCGGTAGACGGCCTCCGGTCGCTCGTCCATGGCGGTAACTCTCTCTTATCCATTGTTGATCCGCTTTGTGTTTAGGGTCTTGGGCTACGGAGCGGGCTCTCTCTCCTTGTTGTTCATCGGAGTAGAGTTTCGATTAGCGATGGATGGAGGATGGTGCTGGTTCATGGGCGAGGCTGGGATAGATGCAATTGGTTTTCTGCTGGGCCTTTGGGTAGCTGTTTCTCTCTCCGGTCGGGACTGTGCCGTGTTGCCGGCGCTGCGGCGATTCGCGGGGGTCGCTTCCGGTTTCTTGAAGGTAAGCCCCCGACTTTGCTGCTTTGTCTCGGTATTCTATTGTGTCCGTGACTGGGAGGAACCCTCGATTTCTTCTGGGAGAGTTGGGTGGGTGGTTGTGGTTGGGTTGGGATCTCGTTGTTGTTCCCAGTAGTGCTTGGACGCTTGGTCGTGTTTCAGCTGCCTTGGGCTAGGTTGAGCCGTATTGCCTCTTCTCGTGATTGGGGTGCGGGACAACTCTGTGGTTTGGTCCTAGGGTGCGAGTAGCCGTCTTGCTAGGCCTTCTGCAGTGGTGGGCGGTCTTTTTCGTGCTTTGGCGCTATCTGTGGAGTTTGTTTGTCTGCTGTATTCACCTAGTCGTATCTGGTGGGGGAGGATGTCCCTGTTTTCGTTTTCGCTTTTGTTTCTGTATTAGTGTTTGTGTAGGATTGTGTTTTATGTTTGAGCCGTTGGCTCCTGTGAGTCCGAGTGTCAAATTTATTCTCCTGTTGGGAGCCGACACTAGGATATTACCCTGTTGGGGTCTTTTAGTTTGTTTAGTTGTTTAGTTGTTTTAGTGGGTTGTGTAGTTAGTCTGTTTAGTTTCGAGCTTTTATTCTAGCGTTGCTAGCGGGAATCTAGGCAGGCGTCTGACCTGTTCTCCCATTTTATTCTCCCGTTGGGAGCTTTGTACTTTCATTCGCACATTTGTGCGCTTT